CTTCTCAATGTTGAAAACATGTGCTGCTTAAACCATGATACTATTTTTTCAAGATTCCCTGAGGCTGTGCTTGGTAAATTCTGACCATAAATCAAATAGTCTGACTACAGTATGCCTCTTTTATCCAGATCTGATTTGATTTGTTGAACAATGGCTCTGAAACCCTGAGTCTGAAAGTGAATTTCATCACAGTGTCATGATTGTGTCTGTATTTAACATTCAAATGTTACTGCCATCAGCCATGTGCAGCCATCACTTCCTCTAAGGATGTTCATTTGAAAAGCATCCATTGAAACTCTCTGTTTGCAATAAAAAGCCCCATCTGTTTTTGTGTCATTCTAGATTCAAAACTGTGTTATTTTAGTATTATTTATATACTATTATAGTATGTATTCATATTTGAGTTTTCATTTTAGTTTTTAAGTTTTAGTAATTCAGTTTTGTCATTTTTATTACTTTTTGATATTACTATAGCTTTAGTTTGAATTATTTAAGTTTTAGTCATTTTAGTATTTCAATTTAAACTTAAGGTAGTTGACAAGGCAACATTTCTCATATTTGTTGTAAGTTTTTTTTATGCAGATTTTTTTTAAGTTGTCTTGCTATCAATAGTAATATAACAAAATTACGTTCTATAATGGTTGTACTTCTCCAACACAGGCTGTATACAAAGTAGTAATGTTCTTAATTAAATGTTCATTGCAGCTACTGCCCACAAAACACTAACGTGTGGACATCAAACACTCAGAATCAGGCCTCGCTGTGTCTGTCCATGCCTCCTTTAAATCTTGCCTTTTACATCATGAATTATTTACCTTCCCCCCACCCCTAAATCTCCTTCCAACACCCCTCAGATCTGCAGATTCACTGTCAGCTGTGCTTGGAGTCTTGCTGAGAAGCCCTGGTGTCCACACCCTTTGTGTGGAGCCTGATTGTGCAAGATAAGCATAGTCATCGCTATGAATTTAACGTAATCTAAAATAGCCAAATGCTTAGGTAAATGTTTGATACACAAATAGTATTCCCCACATTTTGTTTTTTTTAATAAATATCTGCTCAACTAAAATATAGTTGTATACAGCTAATATTGCCTATAGAGATGTTCCCAAAGTTTAAAGAATACCAATGCGAGAGAGTTAAAGCACCTCATATTTAGCAGGAGCCCCCCTCCTGTTCCCATGCGCTGCAGTGCAATTGGAACCAGCTGCTGCTGCTATGTACCCTGAGCAGCAGCACGGCTACATTGCCATGGCTATGGATCCACGCTTGGGATTGTGGGAAGGCCTGGGTTTCCGGGTCACTGCAGACGAGGCTTCAGGAGAGAGATATCATGCAAATAAATGCAGCCACATTCGTAATATTGTCAGATTATCTCTCTGATCTTAAAGCCTGGAGCTTAAAAATGCTGTTCTTAGCTAGCTTTTAAGATTAAATAAGTGCTGAATGGGTAAGACTAACAGATCTCTGAATTCAAGTACATGCTTACATGGGGGGGGGGTCCCAATTTATTGAATAAATAAAATAGGAAAGATAAACATATTAACAACATTGCAAGCTATATATTACAGGGGGGAAATGTGTAAAAAATGAACCTTTAGGGTTCATAAAAGGTGCATATTAGTTGGAGGACACTGAAAAAATGGTATAGGATTTACTTTAAAACAGTTTTCACTCAGAAATTGTTGGTAAATTTCACAAATAATTATATATATATATATTTTATTTTATTTATTTATTTATTTTTTTCGTTTATTGTTTTAGTACATCAAGTTCAAATAAATTAAAATGAGAACTGTTGCCTTGGCCAACAAGCTGTAATAAAACCTTTTTTATTTTTTATTTTAAATTTCAGTTATTTTTTATTTCAGTCAAGTTTATTTTATTTCAAGTACTGAAAATGCTTTTTTTTATGGTTTTAATTTTAGTTTCAATTTTAATTAACTATAATAATTCTGGTAATATGTACTCTTAAGGTATATTATGAACCTTTTAAGGGTAAATAAGGTACAAAGTTAAGGTACTGCCACAGTGACAAGCTGTTGTGCCCCTAAATGTACAATTTATTTTATTTATAGTATTAAGATTTTTTTCTGAAAGTGTTCTGATGTTTCTCAGAATCAGGTCTCAATATGTAGCATTAATGAACATTTATTTTACATGGCAACAGAAAAACCTCGGCCTCAAAAGGCATGTACCTTACATAATTGTAATCAATTATACATATATGTCTTCTATTATACATGTGCAGATCACCAATTCAGCCAATTTACAGGCATAAAGCCGATCCTTAAGCCATGAAGACTTCATCATGAACTAAGCATGCAGAGATCACCACATATAGTTAAATAGTTGTCATTTGCAAAAATAATAGATGATCATTTAATCAGGATCTGATTGAAAATTGTGCGGTTTTATGTGAAATAATGTAACTAGAATGATTTACACTGAAGAGACCATTCCTGACCAATATTCATTTTAGACAATGATTTTCCTTAAATGTCTTTTGTTTGCACCTCAGCTTATCTTATTAACAGTATCTGCTCATAAATCAAAGATGACACAGAAATAAGTCTGCCCTCTGTCCTCTGCACAGCTACCCCATTTAATTATTGATTTTTTTCTCCATAGCCTTAGGAAGTAGAAGCTATAAGCCACATTTACCACATGCGGCAAAGTCTGCATTTATAATGCCACGGAGAACACCACAAAAACACTGTTTTAGAAAACTGTTTCTTGCCAGCTGGCAATTACCTGAAACATACTCAATCATGTTGCTTGTTAAGTAATCTGAATATGCCCATGTTATGCAGTCTCTCACAAACAGATAAGATTTCATGAGTGGAAGTTGTCTGATCTAGAATCAGATTTATGAATGGTCTTCTCCTATTCGTTGTGAAACTCCCTTTCTCGGACAATAATCCCAGGCAGAATTTTGGTGAATTTTATATCTCTATATGAATAGATGTTTATTTGCTGTTTACACCTCAACGGCACACTCATGGGAGTGTGAGTCACAGCACTGCGCTCAATGACAACAGTCAAGGCATGTCATCGGGATAACATTTTCTTTATCGTGAAAACAAAGAGAAAATAACACCAAATGTGAAACTGTCCAAATTCATCTGAGGTCATTGTACAGCTGAAACCCCGGGGTCGGTCTTCTGGGAACAGTTAAGCAACTGAGACTAAAAGAAAGCAAAATAGCTTCATTGCAGTGATGAATCACAGACTGGTCTGTCTGGCCACAGTTACACAGCGGTGGACTGAATACAGCTATTTCAGCTGAGTCAAGGGAGCTGTGAAAATAGGCGGGAAGTGACCCTGTTGTTCTCATCCCATGAAAACGTCATTGCACTTTTCCTATTGGACCAGGACCATTTATCTTTATTAAATGCAAGTTAAGTAACAAAAGAGTCCAATCATGTTACTGTCAAAAGAGGAAGATTTGTCACAGTTTAAGTGAAAGACCTCATTTAGCTATCACTATAAATCAAACAAAGCACAATAAGATGTATGAAAACATTTGCAGTGCCATTAAGTGGTTAAGACCTGTAATGACCATCTTTATGTTGCAAGAAAGAGTCTGTGGAATGATACTTTGCTGAAGTGAAATCAATGACATTGATTGAAGCCACAATTCCTTTTGGGTAAACATCTTGTCAGTCTATTCCGGTGGGAATAGGTCTGAGATCTTTTCAGACGTTACATTAGGGCACTTTTAATATGATCATAATTGCAGTGAGTTCTTATTTTCATTATTTCACACCTTAATTAGCTATGTAATGAAAGCTTACTTTTTGCCAAACTGTTTAAAATCAAACTGATTTATTAATATTTGTTATTTTAATCTCTGTAAATAATAGGAGCAATATGTCAGTACATAAATAAAGAACATAAATTATAGTATTCTAATAGGTATGTGATACCAATTTAAATGGGTAAACAAAAAACCACGCCTTCTTTCTTTGCATGCACATTTGGGCCACATTATGCAAATATTTCCACATAGTGAGGTAGATATGTGGGGGCGTGTTAGAACGAGCCATTTTAGGGGGGCGTGGCAGAGTCTTAACTTTGATAAAGAATATCTCTTTGGGCTTGAGACTTTAGTCTTTACAACTTCAGGGATCTTATCGATGCACAATCAGCTTGTAACACTCCAAAGAGAAAGGAAAACTTGAAATCGCATCATTATGACCCCTTTAAGTGTGGACGTCATTTTATCTTGGATGCTCCGCTAGTCGCCGTACTACTGCTGCTGCAACTCTTCTGTAAGCCTCAGCCTGCAAAACAGAGACATTTGCATAAACATATTAGAAAATTATTTCAGATCAGTTCTATAAACTTTCGTTACTTGTATACGCTGTCTGATTGAAGTCTGCCAGTTGATTAGTTTAACATTTTATGACTACAGTACATTCAAAGTGATTCATATTTGCGTGACTGTTTAGAAATAACCACATTTCAACATAAAATAGAAAGTCTCAAGGAGCATTTAAAATAGAATTAGTACTAAACATTAGGGCACTTTTAATATGATCATAATTGCAGTGAGTTCTTATTTTCATTATTTCACACCTTAATTAGCTATGTAATGAAAGCTTACTTTTTGCCAAACTGTTTAAAATCAAACTGATTTATTAATATTTGTTATTTTAATCTCTGTAAATAATATGAGCAATATGTCAGTACATAAATAAAGAACATAAATTATAGTATTCTAATAGGTATGTGATACCAACTTAAATGGGTAAACAAGGCATATTAGAATGATTTCTGAAGGATCATGTGACTCTGAAGACTGGAGTAATGGTGCTGAAAATTCAGTTTTGACATCTCAGGAATTAATTATAATTTTTTAATCAAATGAATGCAGCTTTGGTGAGCAGAAAATACTTATTTAAATACACATTTAAAATCTTACCAACCCCACACTTTTGATCACTTTTGAACAGTAGTCTACATAAAATAACACTCTTGCACTATAACTATTTTTCAGTCATGCACTTACCAAGGAATTCCAAAATTCACAAGTGGTCTCATTAAGTTCTCTGAAAATGAAGAAAAGAGAGAAAAAAAGTATCATATATGAATGGCAAACAAGTTTTCTTATTAAACATGATATATTTTGTTTACAAAGCAAATGCGGCCACAACACTCACTGTCTGTTAATTCAGGGTTTCCTTTTAGGTTCATTAACTTTGGAATGGAGGGGCCATAGACATCAGCATCTAGAAGACCCACCGATTTACTCTACATGCAACAGCGGTACGAAAAAAGATATTACTAAAGGCAAATCATCTAATAAAAAGTGCAATCCTTTTGTGCTTTCAATACGATGGCTAAGACAGGGGTTATCTGAATGTTACCTGATCATTAGCCATAAGTCCAAGAGCAAGATTCACTGTGAAGACATTAAACTAATTAAGGGTTTCAGAGAAAGACTGGCAGTTGATTAAAGAGTAAAACAAACAGATTGGAGCTGATTGTGGCATGAAACAAACAAAGGTCAATGAATGCAAAAGACAACAGACCTGCTGTTGTGGACTTTCCCACCCCTCCTTTCCCCGATGCAACAACAATGACCTCTTTGACTCCAGCTATGGGCTTCTGTTTGGGCAAACCTCGTGCCATGTGCTGCCTCTGTCTCTCCTGCAGAGCTCGTTCACCAGCACCTGAAGTCTAAACAGAAAAGAGTGGGACATATATGTGTCAGTAACACAGTCTAGACTGTAATGTAGTTAGGTTTATGCATCTATACAGAATTAATAATTAGGAAACCTGTAATCACTAACGTACATTTAATTAATTAATTAGGTTTACTTACCTTGAAGCGGATTTCATGTCGATTTTGATGTGAAGGTCCAAATCTGCTAGGCAAACGTGGTGTGCCTATAATAATATTTGAGGACAATGTATATATTTGCAAAAGCCGTTTGTAGCTGTCGAGTAATTTAATCATCTTATAAAGCTTCCAGAGTCGAGATCTCAGACTGCGTCACGAGCAAAACAAAGACATGAGACACCGCTGTGACACTCGTTTAGTACTGGTTTGCATTTTTTAATAAATCATTTAATATCACAAATACAGCATGTTTTATATATATATATATATATATATAGATGGCATGAGCTGTTGTGAAGTACCGTCGCACCGTCGACTGTTGATGGCGTAGGTTGTTTGGCTTCTCACGCGGAACCGGAAGCGGAACCCCCTGTAGTTCCACAGTTCATTTCCATAACCAATGAACTCGTGAGGTTCATTCAAAATAAACTTCTGTTATTTGTAATGCTTCGGAATTAAACTGATCACTGACATTGAACTCGGCCGTTTGCGGCTTATTTCGTAGCAATGTCCGAGAGAACAGAGAACTGCATGAAAGCGCGAGTGATTCTCCAGCAGGGTCTGCATGCACGACTGCAGGTCCAACCTCCAGAAGCTGGGAGTGAGGCTGAATGGGTTGAGGTATCGGAAAAATATGTAAATAATTAACCTTAACCACAATTCTAGTTTTTGTCCAACTAATGGCCTGTCTAATGTAATTCGGGTTATTCAGATTAATAGGGGAATGGTTATCTACATCTGCTTTTTCAAAGGTGCGACTGAAGATATAATCCCCAACATGGGTATGCAATTGCTCCTGTCTCACATTTGCAATAAAAACATATAGATGCATTAATTCTGAAATAGAATATAAACTAGGCCAGGGGTAGGCAAGGTCGGTCCTAGAGAGCCGCAGAGTTCAGCTCCAACCCTAATCAAACACACCTGAGCAAGCTAATCAATGTCTTCAGGATTACTAAAGCTATATGCAGGTGAGTTTTGTTTTCAGGGTTGGAGCTGAACTCTGCAGGACTGCGGCTCTCTAGGACTGAACTAGGCTATATTTAATTGACACCTGTTTTTCCTACTCAGTGAACACACTGCTGAACATGAAGCTTTGTGAAACAGAATCTGGAAAGTACACCTCGGTGCTTCAGCTACCAGGCAGTGTTCTCATAGTACCGCAAGCTACGCTTGGAGGAAAACCAAAAGGAAAAGGGATGCAATACCATGGCAACATTGGGAAAGATGAAGGCTTGAAGCTCTACAACAGCTTTGTAACACCTCGGTGCTTCAGCTACCAGGCAGTGTTCTCATAGTACCGCAAGCGACGCTTGGAGGAAAACCAAAAGGAAAAGGGATGCAATACCATGGCAACATTGGGAAAGATGAAGGCTTGAAGCTCTACAACAGCTTTGTGTCTCATTGTCAAAGTGAACTCTCAACCTGCAAGAACAGTGACACTGTTACAGAGGTCAAACATGGAACGTATGGAAACAGACAAGTCTTGAAGCTGGATACAAATGGACCTTATACTCATCTAATGGAGTTTTAAGAACTGTGCCATTTTCATTTGTTTGTAGATCAGTAATGTATGGGTGTATGAAGGACATGAACGTATACAGATCATCCAGAACTGTTAATACACGTTCATAGCTCCACTCCTAATTAAAATGTTAGGCTTACACCTGGTGTCTGTTTTTGTGTTATCTTGTGTTGTGATTCTTTTGTGTTTTTTAGGTATGTTAAGCATATCTATCTATCATTGTACTTATCTGATCAAATAGTCCATAAATCAGCCGTGATATGTTTATTTGGCTGCTATTCAAATATAGTTGGACATCTCCAGTTCCAGTTGAAATATCAATCACAAGGTAATCCAGATTTACCCAATCTACCTACATATAAAAAGTCATTACAGTAAAGGGAAAATAATGTTGCATAAATTGGATACATTTCTTTGTACTGCAGAAAAAGACACAAATTGTATTATTATTAGTAGTATACAGCAAATTATAGTTTTACATTTTTTTGTTTTCTTGTTCGCAGAGGATAACGCCCATATTTCACACACACACGAATGACCATAACCCTAAAAAGATTGTGCTTTAAAAATAGACCTGCTACTTATTTCATTTGCATAGTTAATTGAATTCCATATTAAACTGAAAATAGAAAAACGCCGGTTTTTATTAGAGCCTCACAAATCATTCTCGACGTGTCATTTTGCTCATTCACACTTAATCAGTGAATGCCACGCATTGGATTCACTTTGGCCGCATGTCCCTCTCCTGTCCAGCGGGTGACAGTAAAGTGCAGACATTTCCAATATCTCCCAAACCAACAATCCAGAACAGTTTATGGAAATGCACAACAAGCATGAGCTGGAAAGCATTAGGATCCTTGCAATGATGAGCAAGATCATTTCTCATACTGCGACATGTCAACACGACCAGACTGCAAGGTCTTAAATCCTGTGAGGATTAATGATTTATTAGTTAAACTGTCTTTATAGTGGATTCGCAACTTTGATAATGACTCATTGTCTTCATCAAGAAAGCTGCTAATGGACGGCAGACAGAAGGAGCATTGCACTCAAAGACAAGACACATCAGCTGTAAGACACCGAAAAACATGTAAGGCAAACGAGGGGTCTGAGTGCCTTTCCCAGCCTTCTAATGAGACTTCTAATGGGGCAAATAAAAGGATCCCCAAGCGAGGAGGACACCTCGATTCTCCCTCCAAAGATGATCATGTGTCAGTTTATACTCTGGTGCTGGTGCTTGTGCTCTCTGTATGTACACGCTTTTACAAAATCACTGAGCCTCCACATGTATGGTAAGTGTTAGTTGTGTACAGTTGTGATTATAACCCTACTATCAATGCACGATCAATAAACATAGTCCATTTGCAGTTGGGATGAGACTCATTTCGGGAAAATGGGAAGCTATTACATTAACCGCACCTTCTTCTTTGATGTCCATCCACCTCTTGGAAAGGTATGGGTTACAGTGCATGTAGACCCACGCTTGCTGCAATAAAATCTGAATTTATTATTCTTCTGTCAATTTTTGTGTAGTTTGTCGTGTGTGACTCTAAAGGATGTTTCTACACTCATTGCTCAGATGCTGATCGGCCTCGCTGGATACCTGACAGGCTATGATGGCACCTTTCCCTTCATAAAACCAGGGGACAAATACGAGCACCACAACTATTGGGGGATGAGAGCAGTAAATCCCACTTCATTTCATGCATATCTTTAAGATGGTGTTAACGTTTAAGTTATCATTATATAGTTTTTTTTTTAGTTTATGTAGTTTAAAAGATCATTTTTGCTAATGCAAATGCTTTTTAATTTCACCATGCAAAATTGTAGCTTAGTAGAGTTCAAAAATGCAAATATTGATTTTTTTTGTAAGTTCAAAAGTTATTCTGATTACGAATGGGCATGATGTTTCTTTTCTTTTATTTTTATTTTTTCTTTGCATTGCTGATCTATCATTCTTTAATCCCTGTGATGAATTCCTTTGTGTTTAGTTCTGTGCAGCTCTTGGTTCCTGTCTTCCTCCTTTTGCCTTCCTTATTGTCCTGGAGCTGTCACACTCTACACCAGCAGCGCTCATCGCAGCCTCTCTGCTTATCTTTGGTGAGTGTGGTAGTGATCATCAACACAGAGCTGGCCTGTATACAGTGAGGGCATTACTACGATGATCTAAATCGACTGATCTGTTTTACAACAGACACGGGCTGTATCACCCTGTCTCAGTACATTCTCCTGGATCCCATTCTAATGTTTTTCATCGTGGGCTCTGTTCTCTGCATGGTCCGATTCAACACACAGAGACTCAGGTAGAGGAATCTGAAGCATCTCTCTATGTAGCTTTACGGTTTGAGTTTGTGTACCTAATATAATGCACATTTTCTTTCTTGTCTCTAGGCCTTTCAGCTTCTCCTGGTGGTTCTGGCTGCTTCTGACGGGGTTCTGCCTCTCAGGGTCTCTGGGGGTAAAGTTTGTGGGGCTGTTTGTCATCCTCTTGGTGGGAATTAACACAGCATTTGATCTGTGGAGGCTGCTTGGGGACCTCAGCTTGTCTCTGGTATGAATGAGTACCAGTTACGCGATTGAATATAGTCTCAAATATACACACCATTTAAAAGTTTGGGATCAGGAAGGTTTTTAATGTTTTTGAAAGAAGTCTCTTTTGTTCAACAAGGCTGCATTTATTTGATCAACAATACTGTACAAACAGTAATACTGTGAAATATTACAATTTAAAATAGCCATTTACTACGTGAATATATTAGAAAATATTTATATGTAATTTATTTCTGTGATGTCAAAGCACAGCAGTCATTACTCTACCCTTCAGTGTCACATGATCCTTCAGAAATCATTCTAATATGTTGATTTGCTGCTCAAGAAACATTTATTATTATTAATATTGGAAACCGTTGTGCTGCGTATTATTTTTGTGGAAATAGAATTTTTTAAGAACAGCATTAATTTGAAATCAAAATCTTTTGTAACATTGTAAAAGTCTTTACTGTCACTTGATCAATTTAATGCATCCTTGCTGAGAAAAAATCTTACTGATTTCAAACTTTTGAACGTTAGTGATTTATTATTATTAATATTGGAAACCGTTGTGCTGCGTATTATTTTTGTGGAAATAGAATTTTTTAAGAACAGCATTAATTTGAAATCGAAATCTTTTGTAACATTGTAAAAGTCTTTACTGTCACTTGATCAATTTAATGCATCCTTGCTGAGAAAAAATCTTACTGATTTCAAACTTTTGAACGTTAGTACATGTTGGGGATGATAATATTTTCTTGTTTTTTCACTAGGTGGATTTTGGGAAGCACTTATTAGCTCGGGTTTTCGGGTTGATAATGCTCCCATTGTTCCTGTACACTACAATATTTGCCGTCCACTTCGTTGTCTTAAACCGAAGGTATGTTTGAACCAATATTAATTTTCTATTTTATTATTAAAGCAGTTCATTGGTCATTAATACAGTCAAATAAAACGCTAAAGCTTTGTTCTTTTCAACACACAGCGGTCCTGGGGATGGTTTCTTCAGCTCTTCTTTCCAGTCTCGCTTGATTGGAAACAATCTGCACAACGCCTCCATGCCGGAGTGTAAGAACAACTTGAGCTCAATATTTGGCATTTTTACTGCTTATGTTTCTTTTATTACTTAACCGAAGGTATGTTTGAACCAATATTAATTTTCTATTTTATTATTAAAGCAGTTCATTGGTCATTAATACAGTAAAATAAAACGCTAAAGCTTTGTTCTTTTCAACACACAGCGGTCCTGGGGATGGTTTCTTCAGCTCTTCTTTCCAGTCTCGCTTGATTGGAAACAATCTGCACAACGCCTCCATGCCGGAGTGTAAGAACAACTTGAGCTCAATATTTGGCATTTTTACGGCTTATGTTTCTTTTATTACTTAAAAAAAACCTTACTGAATTGTGAAAAGATTCCATTTAATGACAATATTATCCTGGCTTGTACTCCTCCCTCACACAGATCTGGCATATGGCTCTGTCATAACCGTGAAGAATCTGCGAATAGCAGGAGGGTATCTGCACTCTCACTGGCACCTTTACCCAGAAGGGGTTGGAGCTCACCAGCAGCAGGTCAGCTCACCCTCATTTACTCCTAACAGACAGTTAGACAACAGTACTGCTGTAACATTATCTGGAAGATTTCAAGATGAAAAACTGATCTGTGATCATTATTTTGGTTCAAAATCTCTAATTATGCTACCGTTAAAAGTTCGGAGTAAGAAAATATTAAGCAGCACACTGTTATCAACATTGCTGAAGATAATAATAAGAAACGTTTCTTGAGCAGCAAATCAGCATATTAGAATGATTTCTGAAGTATCATGTGACACTGAAGACTGGAGTAATGATGCTGAAAATTCAACTTTGCCATTACAGGAATAAATTCGATTTTAAAATATAATAAAACCATTCTTTTAAATTGTAATAATATCTCACAAGATTAAATAAATGCAGCCTTGGTGATCATAACAGACTTCTTTCACAGCATTCATATAATCTTACCAACACCAAACTAGTGTATCTAAATGTGTATATTTGATATATGGCCTGAGAAATAGAATTTTTTAAGAACAGCATTAATTTGAAATCGAAATCTTTTGTAACATTGTAAAAGTCTTTACTGTCACTTGATCAATTTAATGCATCCTTGCTGAGAAAAAATCTTACTGATTTCAAACTTTTGAACGTTAGTACATGTTGGGGATGATAATATTTTCTTGTTTTTTCACTAGGTGGATTTTGGGAAGCACTTATTAGCTCGGGTTTTCGGGTTGATAATGCTCCCATTGTTCCTGTACACTACAATATTTGCCGTCCACTTCGTTGTCTTAAACCGAAGGTATGTTTGAACCAATATTAATTTTCTATTTTATTATTAAAGCAGTTCATTGGTCATTAATACAGTCAAATAAAACGCTAAAGCTTTGTTCTTTTCAACACACAGCGGTCCTGGGGATGGTTTCTTCAGCTCTTCTTTCCAGTCTCGCTTGATTGGAAACAATCTGCACAACGCCTCCATGCCGGAGTGTAAGAACAACTTGAGCTCAATATTTGGCATTTTTACTGCTTATGTTTCTTTTATTACTTAAAAAAACCTTA